TCTATAATTCTCAATCCTAGTTGTTTTATAACTTTTTTCATCATGTGACATGTCTTGATGCAAATAAAAATATGAACCTTTTTTGAAATGACAAAAATTACTCCTGTACAAAGAAAAAGCACAAATGCCAATTTTGTTTTCATATACTGTAACTTGATACAATTTCATTTTTCCAGCTCACTGTAAATAATTTCCTCCTGCGGTGAACGTACCGAGGCCACATCTCTCTGTGTGTGTGTGTGTGTGTATATATAAATTATTAAAAGATGTATGTATATATATTAAAGATTAAAATTTTAAAAGGTTGGTGCTACTTGAGGATGCAACCGTGGAAAAAATCACTTGGGTGGGTCATAAGCCATATCTATAAAATTCAAACTGCTTTTTGTTGAACACCATGTAGCTGAGACCACCGTGCACTCTGTTTTGCCCTTGGGCCATGGTACCGTGTGTATGGAAAAGCACCCATGTACATTGAACAAAATCCAGGCCTAAAGCAATTCCTGTTGATGTCAGGTATTTGACAGAATTGAATTATGTCTGACCTGGAGATTGCAGTACTGTGTTGAAAGAACACTCCAAGAGGTGAAAAATGCCACCTGCTCTTTGTCCATCAGTGGCTGTGTGACTTGGTTTGTTAATTGGAGGGAACTGAAATTCAGCTCTTACTCAGGATAGGGCATAACCTGAAGTTAAAAGGTAGCACAGCTACCTTTGGAAATGTGCTTTAAAAAGAAGGGAAGGGAAAATGAGGTGGTGACCAAAGTAGAATACCTGCAAAACTAGCTTTTAGATGAGGCTTTGGTTATGTATGGGACTTTGGTAGACATTATGATAAAACGCAGCCATACTGGAGCTAGCATATCTTTATCCTGGGTATTAAAAAAAATCTAAATATTTAAAAATTATATAGAGAATATATATATATAGAAGGGTAATTGTTACTTCAGAAACTTGAAATTTTTAGTGTACTTTTATAGCATGTATAATAAGAAAGTTAAAATATATTTTAGTATTTAATACAAAAAAGATTTGAAATTAATTGCTATCTATGTGCACGATAGAAAATTCAACACTGCAGTTCTGCTTTTCAATGTTAAAATGAAGAAGGGATGAATTGTGAACTCAGTCATCAATTTTCTAGATAGAGTAATAGCTTCCTGCTGGCTTAGGCTTGGTGTAAATAAAGCTGAGCAGTACCTGTCACTATGAAGTGACAACTACACTTGGTTACTACACAGAGCATTTACCCCACTTGCCACTTCTGTTAGTTCAAGCATTGCAACATCAGAAACAGGAAAGTCTAACTTTTTACACCAGTGCTTCTTTTCACTTACACTTTTGTCCCAAGGTGTTATAATTACCCACTGAGCAAAAAAGAAAACTGTATATTATGTAAATATTGTAAATGGTATGAGCATATAACGTCTGTTTTAGTTTGACTGTTTCAATCTTTCATTGAAACAGGCATTGTAAAAAAATAAATAAATAAATAAAATTGTGACAGAAATCCTCCAGTCTTGTATTTCCTATAGCATGCACAGTGGGTGGAGATTTCTTAACAAGAATTTATATTCCTTTACGTTATTCTTTAAATTTGTGTTCGTAATAGAAAAGCCTGCTATTAATTTCCTACCTTTTGCCCCTCAAGGCTTCAGACCATCCTTGTTTGTTGCTGAACTTGTACAATGTGTTTCATGTCTAAAGATATGCAAGCTTTTCCATCTTTTCCAAAAGGTGCTCATTTCCACAATACTGACACAGGCCTGTCAGTATTGACCGTGTGTGGTGATGATGGGGCGGCAGCTGGCAGCTACCTCTCCCCAGCTTTCCTGTTCCTTCCTTTTAAGTCTTGGATCTGAGGCCCTTCATCTCCTGCAACCTCAAACAAGCCAGGTAAGAAATGCATCTCGTTTCTAAATTACGAAGACTAACATCTGTTAAACCCTCACTATCAGCAAATCCTGCGTGTGCTACACACCTCCTCAGATTTTAGAAAACTTGTGGAGAAGCACAGAGCTTTCCTGTGGTCTGCCTCCACTTCTTAATTGTCTTCTGAGGAAAAGAAGGGGAAAGTTAGAAGTGAGTTTTCTTCTGCCAGACAGATAACATTTGGACTATTACTTGCACAGAGTCCCTTTGTCCAGATTGTACTAGTACTGGTACATAGCTGAGTTACAATTACTCTTTCTCTTGCAAATAGTTTCCCAATTATAAAATGGATATAATGGATATTCAGTTCCTTCTTTAGCAGTTTGAAGTTGCATGAACTGAGGCACAAGTCCTGTATCTGACAGGAATCAGGATCACCCATAAAGTATCATTTAGGTTGAAAATGCCTTTGAGATCACAGAGTCAAGCCATAAACCCAGCACTCCAAGTCCTCCATTAATGTACTGCTGAATACTAAAGACACTATGATTTGTTCATGGCATACATATTGCACCCCGACTTCCCAACACTGATGCTTGTTCTGTGAATTACAGGGACATGTTTAACTCTCTAAAGGAAGAGGTGAGAAAGACTGGTATTATTAGGATTTTGTTAGCACGAACATACTGTTTGCAAGCGAGTGTGAAAAGGCAACATATTTTCATAGGGCAGCCAAGGTGTAAAGCTTCAGCTCGGTTTAATTGCCACCAATTGACCTGCACTTGCCTGTGTGGACATGCAATAGCAGCAGTTTGCTTCCTTGAGTGGTTGCCGCTCCTGTGTGAAGTGACTGGGCCAGCTGCCCCTGGCTCAGCAAGGACTCGAGTTTTGCACTAATCCCACACACAGCTTTCACAGCAAGAGGCTGTGTTTTCGCTTCTACTGTTAGGACCCTCCTCTTTGATTGCAGGAAATTAAATACTTGTGCTATCTGGCAGAAATCGTGCACACCTCTAATGAAAACATACCAAGAGCCCCAATTGCTCAATTGTGGTTTATATTACCTACCGAACTGTGGCTTATCATTGGGGGTTGTATGTACTTGAAGGGTGTGTTAAGCTCTGCAAACTTTGACCTTGTTTCTGGTCTGACAAAATATGATACAAACATAGCCTATCCCAGAACAGTCAGAAGCAAGCTCTGCCAGACTCCCTGCTGTGCCATGTCCAGCTGCACCAAAACAAGTATTAGGAATAAATAAAAAGATGTTCTTGCAAAGTTTGCAGTATGGTTGCATTTGGTGGTGGGAAGTGTTCAGTGGTCAGTTACAGAGAGGTGCAGTTTGCCCAGAAACAAGGGGATCTATCAGCAGCAACGGATCAATAACCTCCATTTTGAAAATGCTGGGGACCCTTCCCTAAATGGGGGTCACATTGTAGGCGTGTCGGGAAGGCTGTAACTCAGCCAATGGGAGTACCCTCCCAGCAGGGGAGGCCTGATCCCTCTCACTGCCTGTCTTGCTGAAGCCTTGTGTGAGTCTGTGTGTGAGCAGTTGCCTGCGCTGGGTCGCTGGAGAAGTCAGGGCTTTCCCTTGGTACAGATCTCCCTAAGACCCCACCTGAGTAAGAGACCAGGCTCTAAGCCTGGCCGGACCTCAGTCAAGGAGCACAAACAACTTTTTCTAGTGGAACTGTTGCACTTGGGGAGCTTGTAGCACACACCAGGTAAATTAACATGGGTTTTATGTGCTGGAGGAGAAAAACATGTTTATCTTGAACACAGCCAGAGGGAGACCAACTCTAAGAGACTCATAAGCAGAAAATGAAGGTGGGGTGCTGCTGTTCCTGAGCAAGTCCTTGGCCAGCACAGGGGTGAAACCCTGAAAACAGTTTGTTTAGGGAGACACTAGGGCAGTGCAGAGGAAACATGAGAGGCGATGGCCTGGGCTGAGCGAGTGTGAACCAGGGTACCCATGCCATATGGCCAGGCAGCAACTCTCTCAAGGCATCAGCCCATTGAAAGAAAACCAGGATTTCTTGCAAAAGGACCTCCTGGAAGCATAAGATTTCAGTCACACAGAATCACAGAATCATGAGGGTTGGAGGGGAACTCTGGAGATCATCTAGTCCAACCATTTTGCCAAGGCAGGGTCATCTGGAGTAGATTGCATATGAATGCATCCAGGTGGTTTTGGAATGTTTCCAGAGAGGGAGAATCAACAACTTCCCTGGGCAACCTGTTACAGGGCTCTGCCACCCTCAGTGTAAAGACGTTCTCCCCCATAGTGAGGAAAAACTCCTCAAGAAATGCCCCTCTCTCATTTTTCTTCAATAAAACTCTCAATTTAGCCTATTTAACTGAGTTCTGTGCACACCAGCAATGGATACAAAAATAAAAGTCTCTGAAAAGGTAAAATTTTAAATTTCTGAGGATATTTTTATTACCTCTAAGTAGGTGACAGCTACTGTAGGTATAGGAGCTACCAGCAACATGAAGCGCCTGAGGAGAGCCTGGGCCAGGCCTCGTCCTTCCATGGGGACAGGCTGCCACCACTCCCTGGCCAACAGAGCTTGCAGAGCACCAGGAGCCACCTGGTGGCACTCAACCATTGTGCCAAGCAAGATGGAGCCTCTGCAGGAACTGGAGATGAGTGGCCAGGCCCGCCTGAAGCTCAGGTTCTGTGGAGCAAAGATGCCCTGCCATGGCAGCAGGACAGCCTGGAGGGGAAGGAGGTCTCACAGCAGGAGGACGAGAACCACCTTGCCTCCCTTACGTGGCTTGATGACAGACCTGGACAGGATGGGATGGCATCAGATGAAACAGGGGGATGAGCTTCCCTCTGCCTGGGGCCACCTGCTGCATTGCACTGCTGCAGCCCCATCATTTACAACAGCCCTGTCCCAATAGCTTATAGTTGTTCTATCTGGTTGAGCTATAGGAATGAAGGCCTAGAAGGTTTTTCTAAAGTTTCTCATCTCTGCAGTGGAACAGGTGCACTCGCAGCAGGGTGTGGGGTGAGCTGTCGGGGCTTTGTGATGCAGGGCTGCCTTGTGCCCAGAGACCACAGTGACACAGCGGCCAGCCCCCCTGGCCGTGGGGGGATTGAAGGAGCCCTGGGCTGTCCAGTGCCAGGAGAGCAGCTCCTGCAGGAGGCAGCATCTCCCCTGGGTGCTTTGGCATGTCTGTGCCAGAGGATTCCAAAAACAGACATGGAGAAGGTTTGCGAGAATGCAAATTCCCAGCCGCTCGAGGAGAGCCTGGAGACAAGGCGCCAAGTGAGGGATGGGGCAAGAGGGAGAGGCTGCTGGTGGGAAAGGGTTGGGACAGGGCTTGCTGGCATTGGGGGATGCTGTGCCAAGGCAGCTGCCTCTGTGCCATACCACCTCCTCCATTTCCTTCCCGCAGGTGAGCAACACCCAGCAACATGCAGCGCCTGAGGAGAGCCTGGGCCAGACCTCATCCCTCCATGGGGACAGGCTGCCACCACTCCCTGGCCAACAGAGCTTGCAGAGCACCAGCAGCCACCCAACCACTGCACCAAGCAAGGTGGAGCCTCCGCAGGGGTTAGAGAGGAGCCGCCGGGCCCGCTCCCAGCTCAGGGCTTCATATGGCAAAGCCAACCTGCCATGGCAGCTGCACAGCCTGGAGGAGAAGGAGGTCCCACAGCAGGAGGGCCAGGACCATCTTGCCTCCCTGATATGGCTTGATGGTAGAGCCGGGCAGGTAATTGCTGAGGATGGGATGGGATGGCATTAGAAGGGACACAGGGATGAGCCTCCCTCTCCTGGGGCCAGCCACTGCACTGCACCGCTGCAGCCCCATCATCTCCCACAGCCCTGTCCCAGCAGCTCCTGCTGCCAGCTGCCTGGCACGCATTTGCTGGGGGTAACCAGGAGACCTTGACAAAGCACAGAACCACAGAATCCTTAGGGTTGCAAGGGCCCTCTGGAGATCATCCGCTCCAACCTCCCTGCCAAGCCTCAGGCTCACCTGAGGCACGTCACACAGCAATGCATCCAGGGAGCTTTAGAATGCCGATGGAGATGGAGATTCCAGCACCTTCCTGGGCAGCCTGTGCCAGTGCTCTGCCACCCTCAGTGTCAAGAAGTTCGTCCTCCTCACGTTGAGGGAGATCTCCTCAAGAAATGTCCCTCTCTCCTTTCTCATCTGCCAGGGAAACCCAAAGTTGGACATTGAGAAGCCAGAGCTGACAGGCCTGGAGGGACTGGAAGCCATCCTAGGCCAGCAGAAGGTGCTGGAATGGCTTGAAGCCCATTTCCCCACTGAGACCTGGACCTTGGCCACAAAGGGTGAAGACTGGGACTACACGATTGACAAAGGGCTGTCCCGTGGGCTGCGGCAAAAGGACCTCGAACATCCAGTGTCTCCAGCTCCACCTGGTCCCAACAACACCAAGGATGAGCCAGCCATGTACCAGAGTCCAGTGCTGCCTCAGTGGGGACAGGCCTGGCCCAGCCGTCCCAGAGAGCAGCAGCCAGGCCAGGCCAGCACTGCCACAACCACCATCACTGGCTATGCACTGCAGGCTCTTCCCTGGGAAGAGCCCTTGGTGCCGGCGCTGCAGGCAGGAGCTTACCTGTTGCCCGCACAACCCCTTGGCCATGGAGCTCCTTCTCCCGCGGCTACTGACGGCCCGGCGCGACAGCAGCAACGCTCCCTCTTCGGGAGGGTGCTCAGGGCTGTGTGCAGGCTGTTCCTTGGAACCTGTGTGCCACCAGAGCAGGAGCAGCAGCGCCGGGCTGCCAGCGCCAGGAAGGTGCCCGGAGGCGACCGTGCTGAGCCTCGGCAGTGTCCAGCTGAGAGCGCGGCACAGGGAGGCACCCGAGCCATGGCTGCAGGGACGGCGCCTCAGGCATTTGGCTGCTGCCCCAAGCGCACCCTGCCAGACTGGGCTTACCCAGTGATTCCTGTGACCAGCCTATGATTCCCCTAGAGACACCTTAGGACTGAGGCTGGTTCACATTTTTATCACAGTTTGACAATAGATAGATAGATTATATAGATTATAAGACAGACAGATAGATGGATAATAGGTAGATAGATAAATAGATAGACATCAATAAATTATAATTTTTTTTCAATAAAAACTTCAATATCACCCAAATTCCTGAGTTGTGTGCATACGAACAAATGGATTCAAATACGAAACGCTGAGATGAAGTCCATTTGTAAATTCCAGAGGGCATTTTTATTACCTTTAAGCAGGTGACAGCTACTGCAGGTAGAAGAGCTCTCATTCCTCTGGTCCTTATGTCTGTCTAAGATATAAGAATCATAAAATAGAATGGTTTTCTGTAGTTTCTTAGATCTGCAGACCCAGGGTTTCACTGAACAATATTGGATGTCTTTCCCTGCCTTTTCAACCAGAAGCCATATCCTTCTTCTTGGAAGTCAGTGAGTCACTTGCCACCAGCACTGGCAATGATGCGAGGGAATACAAAATAACATCAGGCTACGGCCACGTCTCCTCAACTACACCACTTCATGGCTAATGGAAAAAAACTAAGCCTTTCTTTCATGGCAGGAACCAGGACAGTTGTGCACATTCAAAAAAGGTATTCAAAGACAAAAAGGGGAGATATAGTCCCTGTTTAAATTTCAGAGGATATTTTTTATTTCCTCTGAGCAGGCCAAAGCTACTGCAGCTAGAAGAGCTCTCTTGCTTATAGTTCTTCTATCTGGTTGAGCTATAGGAATGAAGGCCTAGAAGGTTTTTCTGAAGTTTCTTGTCTCTGCCATGGAACACCTGCACTGGCAGCAGAGTGTGGGGTGAGCTGTCAGGCCTTTGTGATGCAGGGCTGCCTTGTGCCCAGAGACCACAATGACACGGCGGCCAGCCCCCCTGGCTGTGGGGGGATTGAAGGAGCCCTGGGCTGCCCAGTGCCAGGAGAGCAGCTCCTGCAGAAGGCAGCATTTCCCTGGGTGCTTTGGCACATCTGTGGCACTGAATGTCAAAGACAGACATGGAGAATCTTTTGGAGAACACCAAGTCCCAGACCTTCAAGGGGCTGCTGAGCCTGGTGAAGAGGTGCCAGGTGTGGGACGGGGCAGGAAGGAGAGGCCTGTGGGATGAGGCACTGGGGGGACACTCTGCCAAGGCAGCTGCCTCCATCTCATGCCTCCTTCTCCTCTTCCCACAGGTGGGCCACAGGCAGCAAGATGCAGCACCTCGGGACAGCCAGCACAAGGCCTCATCCCTCCATGGGGACAGGATACCACTCATTCCCTGCTCACAGGGCTTGCAGGATGCTGGGAGGCAGCCTCCACAGGGGCTGGAAAGGAGAGGCCGGGCTCGCCCCAGGCGCAGGGCTCCACGGAGGAATGCCTTCCTGCAGTGGCAGCAGGGCACCCTGGAGGAGAACTCGTGCAGCAGGGATGTGAGGAGTGGCTTGCAGCCCTGACATGGTCTCAGCTGGTCTCAGCTGCTTAATGACACAGACGGTCAGGTGAGGGCTAAGGACAGGATGGGATGGCATGGGACAGGATGGGAGGAGGGAATGAGCCTCCTTCTGCCTTGCACCAACCACTGCACCACACCACTGCTGCGCCATCACCTCCTGCAGCCCTGTCTGTTATGACCTGGGTGAGAATAACCCAGGTTCTTGCTAATAGGTCTCTTAGGGAGGAGAATTTGGTTGCAATGGAAATCAGATATGTAGATATTTTGGTTATTATTATCCATAGTAATATAGCAATATGAAAGCATAAAGATATTACTCAAGAAAATGTATAAAGGAAAGGAAAGAAAGAGAGAAAGACAGAGAGAGAGAAAAGAGTTCACAGTCACCACCTATGGGTCTGTGATGAGCCTTGATTGTTGCAATTTAGTTGTCCAGTGGTTGAAGTGATGGTTGCAGTCCGGATCCATTGGATGGTGGGGGAAGAAGCCCTCGAAACACAATACCTTTAGGTTCAGGAGGGAAGGCCCTGGCATCTCCCCTACAGGGGAGTTCACACTGTCTCTTTCGTCAGACTTTGGATCTGTTGCCACACTTTTTGGGTCATGGTGGAAGGCCTCAGGGATAGGTCTGGGAGGCACTTGGGGGTCTTTGATGGTTTATGACCCCTGCTCAGCTGCCTCTCATGTCGTCAGCGCAGTTGAGCCAGTAAAACCCCATCAGACCTTCCTCAGGGGCAGGGGGAGAGTTTTACAACTGAGCAGAGGATAATTGCCACTAGAAACAGCACCATCTTGTCTTTGCAGTGTTTGAGCCTCCCCCTGCCCACCAAAATCAGCCAGAGCTGATTTTCAACATGGCTGTTGAGAATGGCTTTCTTAGTAGATACATTCTTATCCCCACAGGCTTGTGTACTTCCCTTTAGATCTGAGATATCTGGACAATAGTACCACCTTTATCTTATCTCAAGTTCCCTTTAAGTGGCTTAACTCACAGACCAGTTCCCCTCAGAAGGCATCTTTGGGGAGGGTGGGCTTTGGTGGTCGAAGATGAGCAGTTTCTCTTTGCATAGTTTGCTACAGTGGACAAAATTCCTTTGGTGATTTTAACAATGTTTAAGCCATTAACTGTAACATTTCAGTCTCTCACACCACTCTATGGCTTAAACATTTTAACAAAGTGTTTCTTTCCTAGGAACGCCTCCTCAGTTTACAGGTTGTCCACGAAGATGATGAAGATTGATAGAAAGAAAAGACAAGAACAGGAGAAGCAATAAAATGAGTGATCATACAGTGCATAATGACTATCCCAATCATTAAAAATGCAAATCTAGTTGAAATTATTAACCCAATTCTCATTTGTTACTGTCCCCATCCCATGAATCCCAAGGATCGGAGTCTTCTTTAATGGGTAGTGGGTGTGAGGGATTCCATAATACTGTGTCTGTTGGATGTGGGCCCAAAATGTTTTGACATTAGCCATAGAATCACATATTGGATCCTGATTGGGCCACAGGCAGCAACATGCAGCACCTCAGGAGAGCCTGGGCCAGGCCTCATCCCTCCATGGGGACAGGCTGCCACTGCTCCTCAGCCAACAGAGCTTGCAGGGCACCAAGAGCCACCCAACCATTGTGCCAAACAAGATGGAGCCTCCGCAGGGGCTGGAGAGGAGTGGCCAGACCCTCCCCGAGCTCAGGGCTCTGTGGAGCAAAGATGCCCTGCCATGGCAGCAGGATAGCCTGGAGGGGAAGGAGCTCCCACAGCAGGAGGGCAAGGAGCAGCTTGATTTCTTGACACAGTCTTGGTGGCTTCATGACATACCCAGGCAGGTGCATGCCAAGGACAGTATAGGATGGCATGGGATGGGATAGAATGGAACGGGACAGAGGGATGAGCCTCCCTCTCTTGGGGTCAGCCACTGCACTGCACTGCTGCACCCTATGGGTAAAAGGCATGTCTGGTCATACACCAGTATGTGGCCTAGGATGAACTGAAAATTTTGAGGCCAGAAGAGTATCTGGAGTATCTTAAGTGCTTTTGTTGCCAACTGCTTAATGTCTGTATCAGACACAGGACACTCAGGTGAGGCCTTTGTCAGATTGAATGCATCCCGTTTCATCATTTACCTTTTCCTCTCTAACTGTTGCTCTCCCTTTTTAGTCTGTAAGACTCAAACAGGGTAAATAACAAGTGTTTATCACCTGCAAACAGGCTGACTTTGCGGACCCCGGTTTTTCCTTTCACTCCCACTGAACTTGTTTTTTCCTCTCTTTTGAACAAAGCAGACCGCATGGTCCAAAGAGGCATATTCCACTTTTTCCACAAGCATTTCACCAGGCACCTACACACCAAGTAGCAGGACCTAAAACTTCTCCTGGTCGGGCCGCGGTACCACTAGGGGTCCCCGCTGCCCGCGCATCCCGCCGCATCCCGCCGCGTCCCACTGTCCCGCCCGGCGAACCAGGATGTGCTGCGGGAGGACGGGCCTGGCGGTTCCCCAGCGGCGGGCGGAGAGAGGGATCGGTCCCTGCGTCTGCAGGGGACACAAACGCGGCGGGGACTGCCGCCCCGGGCACGGTGCAACAGGGTTGGGAGACACCCCAGCGAGGAAAAGGAGCCGCGCTAAAGCTGGGCAAGTGCCCCTGTACCTGGCATTAGTGAGGACACACCTCGAATCCTGTGTTCAGTTTGGGGTCCTCACTACAAGAAAGACATTGAGGTCCTGGAGCGTGTCCAGAGAAGGGCAACGGAGCTGGGGAAGGGACTGGAGCACAAGTCTGATGAAGAGTGGCTGAGGGAGCTGGGGGTGTTTAGCCTGAAGAAAAGTAGGCTCAGGGAAGATTTTATTGCCCTCTACAACTACCTGAAAGGAGGCTGTGAGGTGGGGGCCAGTCTCTTCCCAAGTATCAAGCAACAGGATGAGTTACACCAGGGAAGATAGAGAGTGGATATTAGGAAACTTTCTTTGCCAAAAGGGTTGTCAAGCACTGGAACAGGCTGCCCAGGGCAGTGGTTGAGTCATCCCTGGAGGCATTTAAAAGACACGTGGATGTGGCATCTAGGAACATGGTTTAGAAGTGGACGTGGCAGTGCTGGGTTGGACTCGATCTCAAAGGTCTTTTCCAACCTAAATGGTTCTATGAAATGAGCCCTGATGGGACATCACTCAGCAAAGTGAATGGAGGTGAGGGGAAGCTTTTTCTTCAGCTTGCAGCATCCTCAGCTTTTCTAATGCCAGATGTACTTTCAAAAGCAGCGTGTAAATTTGACCTTAGCCTGCTCTGCTGTAAACCGACAAATTATACTCATTATGCAACCAAAGTAATTTCACATTGCAAAAATACATGTTTAAAAACACTTCCTATCCAAAAGGAAACAGAAGGCATAACTATAAAAGAAGTTGTTCAAAATGTTTGTAGGTGACATGGACATGGTGGTTTGCCAATGACACCAAACTGTGTGGTGTGGTGAACACACTGGAGAGACAGGATGCCATCCCAAGGGACCTTGACAGACTGGAGAGG